TAATAACCGTAGTAGTAACAATAGTGTTGTAATTGTAGCCGTAGTGGTAGTAGAGTAGTAATAGTAGGAGTAGTAGTAGCAACTGCAGTGGCGATGGTAGTAGTAACAGTTGAAGTGTTCAATAGCCTTAAGGGATATACACCAAGTGACTTCTCTGGTTGTGGATAATAATCATTATTATTAAGATTCTCTCAGTTTGGAAGGGGGTAACCTTAACCAGTTCAAAAGCCTATTATGTGTGGGTGTGTATGTGTGTGTGTGTTTGTGAGTGTGTGAGAGTGTGAGTGTGTGTGAGTGCCTCTGAGCGAGTGACTAATTAAATGCATGTTCTTCTTCTTTTCTTCTTTTATGTTTTTCAACTACCATTTGCCAGCATGCAATAATGATAAGTAGTTTCGTGTGTTTGCCGTGTGTGTGTATATGTGTGTGTGTGTGTGTGTGTGTGTGTATGTATATGTATATATATATATATATATATATGTGTGTGTGTGTGTATTAATGTGTGCGCATCTGTGTGTGTGTGTGCGTGTGCGTGCGTGTCATGTTTTTGTTAGCGCTAGTAGCTAGCAGTGTGAAGTAGCTATTGACTTTTTTGTTTATCTTATTTTCTAAGATCTATCAAAGGATGATGGCGATCATGATGGTAATGAAGATGACGATGACGATGGGAGTAAGATGATTATGATACCGATATTAGTTGATGATGATGATGGTGGTGGTGATGATGATGATGATGGAAAGAAAGTAGGAGGACGAAATTGAAGGATATTTCTGGCTGGAAAATGAACCTTTTGATGATGATGATTATGATAGAACATCGATGATAATCATTCTAGGTGGTAATGCCACGTTGTCTTTGAATTATCTTTGTTAATTTTAATTTAAAGAGGGACAAAGATTTTTGTTGTCTGATGATTACATTTTATTGAACTTTAATTTAATAGTGCCTAGCTAATTTACTTGGCTGCTCTACCTCCAAACAATCATTTCTATTGTTTGCCAGCTTCAGACATTAATCAATATCATAGTCATTGCAGTTTTGTTATTATTGTTGTTGTTGTTGTTATTTATTATGATTGTTTATTATGATTTTCGTTTATTATCATCGTCACCAGTATTCATCGCAATCAACATTTCATGCAACAGAATCATCGTCATCATCTTAATCATATTCATTAAGTTCGTCACTAACATCACCATTGTATTATCATCGTCGTCACCCACCTCACAAACATCATCACAACCGCCACCATCACGAGCCATTTCTAACTTAGATCCCAGCTTGATTGAAAAGATTTCATATGCTGCGTACTGCTGTGTGAAGTAGACATGTGCGTGTGTGTGTGTGTGCGTGCCTGCGTAGGCTGTGTGTGTTTTGTATACATTTGTGTGTGTGTGTGTGTGTGTGTGGGTTGTGTGGGTTGTGTGTGTATTATATATTCGTGTGTATGTGTTTGTGGGTTGTATATATATATGTTTGTGTGTGTACGGGTTTGTGTGCGTGCGTGCGTACGTTGTATGTGATTTGTTATATCCTGTTGTGTATTTATGATGTGTATATATGTATGTGTGTGTTGTGTATGTGCGTGTTTATGTGAGTGTGTGGCTGTAATGTATGTGCGTTGGTTTTTCATCATTATGTATAAAATACACCTTACACATTCCCATTTTAATTAAAGTCAATCTCAAATGTTTTTGGGTCTTGCTGTATTCCTGATGCAAGTTTGTTATTTTTTATGGCCATTTGTATTTTAGACATTGTTTTGTTATGTACATACATATACAATACATACATACAATTGATTTGTGTGTGTTTACTTGTATGCGTTTCTGTGATATGTATGTATGTGTGTGCGTGGGTGTGGGTGTTTATTATTTTATTGCTTGTCTTGTTTCTGTTGGCCTTTGTACACTATATGTACATGCTGTTCTTTTGTTTGTATGTCGTTAGTTGATTGTGGTGTATGTATGTGTAGTGTGTGTGTGGTGCTTTGTTTTAATTGTTGTTTGAATTATGAGGATGTGGTATTTTTTTGTATATTTAAGTTTGTATTTTAGGTGTATATGCCTGCATGGTGTTATATTTAATGTGTTTGTAATTTGTAAAGGTATGTGTATATATATACTCATGTTTTGTGACTGTTGGTGCGTGTTTCTGGTTGTCAATCTTTTTTTGTAGAATTTTTTGAAAGTGTCTTTTGTTGTAGAAACAATTAGAATTGATTCATGCCTTATCGCCTTGAACCTGCCGAGTTATGTATACAATTATTTTTGCCCATGGTTTTGTGTGTGTATGTTTGTGTGTGTGTGTGTTTGTATATGTATATGTGCGTATGTTTGTATATTCGCTTATATGTTTGCTATCATGTTTATTTATATCTTTCAATGCGTACAAAGTATATATACAATCTGCCGAATCATAAATTTCAGAATAATACGAAGATCTTTATAAATATCTAAACAGTTGCATGCATGTCTGCTTAAACAGATGCATAAATAAATTCTATATTTCCAGATAAATTTGCACAGACATTCGTCCGTGCATCCATCCATACATCCTTCCAGCCATTGATAATAAACCCTCAATAGCACATACCTGCACACATACATATACACATGCACACATGCACACATCCATAAATGCACGTTTATACACATAAATGTTCATGTTTCGGTTTTTCCATATCCATGTACATGCCATGTATATTCATCGTCTGTACATGTTTATGTGCATGTTCAGTTATAATTGTTAATGGCCGGGGCTCTTTCCCGTCATTAAATTCATCGCCGGACCCAATTTGAACCTCGTTATGTTTCATCATCATTTCTACAACGTCTGGTTGTACAAAGTTGTACACACACGCACACATACAGCAACGCATATATGTATCTATGTGTGCTTACGCACGTATATTGCGTATGTATACATGCACACGTATGTATGTATGTTTATTTTTACATGTGTAAACGTTCTTCGATGTGTGTGTTTTTTGTTTAAATTTGTTCATGCATGGTGTATTATAAAACATTTATAAATACGCATATAAACCCGTGAACTTAATTAAACACGGTGTATGTTTATCTTGTGAAGAACTTAATGCTACTATTAATGCATAAACAAACACCAACTCCATGTATATGAATATTTACGGTATATATTATGTATCTATATGTATGTATATATATATACGATACCCATAGAAACAGGTATATGTATGCGAAGACACGTATTAGTGCACTTGTGTATAGCATTGTTTTATGATTGATTGCCTGTAGAACATTACGGAATTCACAACACATTTCTCCAGTGTCTTGCATGATCCTATCTATTCTACATCCATATATATGCATATTGCATACCCACATACGCAGACATACTTATTCCAGTGTACATACACCAATACACACGTTCATACCTACAGATACACGTACAAACAAATGTGTGCATGTAGATATTTGTACATTTACACGTTAATTTATCAGTACCCATGCCGGTTTAGTGTTGTGGTATTGATTATGTACTTACGAATGCTTTTTCATACACAGATGTGAACGTAGGCTTTTTGTAAAAAAAAATTTTTTTTCAACGCGATGCTACGAGTGAGTAGTGTATTTGCTCATGCTTTTGCTGGCAGAAAAGGCTATTGACTAATTTATAAGAATATACATCAATACAATGTTACACCTACAGTAAACAAACACAGGGTATCTATATCTCTCTCTCTCTCTCTCTCTCATACATCGAGAACTTGTACACAGCTTATGCAGCGTAAAGTTAAGAAGAGCTACTATTTCACAGAATTGTATGATGGTTGAGTTTTATTTTCTTTCTATTTCCTGGAACAAGTTCAGTGGCAAAAAGAAAATTGATTAATGTCTTGAAAAAGGTGGAAAATATTGTGTGGCCACGTGTGCGTGTGCGTACGTACGTGCGTGACACACACATGTGCAATTATAGAGGAGAGGCGCATATAATATTACAATGCAAATATAGATTCGCACACCTGACATAGACAATCACCTACACGTACGTACAATTAATGTGATCGGACAAGTTTTGGAGACACATGAAAACCTGTATGATGAAGGTTGCTGTTGTGATACTTCATTCAAACACACATAAACATACCAGCATATTAACCTACACATGACTTGTTATTCTCACATATGCAAACATGTTATTCTCACATATGCAAACATCTAGAGTAGTAAATTCACACAGATGGGAACAATTTCATCACGTACATTTTCACACACACTCACAGGCATACACATAAACATACACGCACACACATACACAAACGCGCGCACACTTCTTCTCAGATATACACGTGACCTCTGTTGACCTATGAGAGGCATTGTTGTGGTTTGATGTTCAGTGACCTGTTAAGTAATCATATAATCTCAAATCTATTTCTCTCTATTTCCTCTCCATCTCTCTCTCTCTCTCTCTCTCTATCTATCTCTTTTTTCTCTTTCTCTTTCTCTCTCCCTCTCTCTCTCTCTCTCTCTCTAGTTTTTCAGTTTCTCTTTAAATGATGTGTATTTTTTCTGTACGTGCTTATGTTTTTGATCATATGTTTGGTTTTTTAAATGTTTCTACGTATAACATGCATACACACACACATACACATACATATGTGCCAACCGCGCACAGACTGATGTATAAAGGGCCGGGTTATTGTTTGCACAGTTGAGTGTTTGTATGTTGTTTGTTCGATGTTGTGCAAATAGATAAATGTAGATTGCAAAATGTTTATCCATCACATACGAACATACGAAGTGAACGAGCAGCGAACGAACGAACGCTCAACCACGTATGCTAATGTTTTCCTCTTCTTCCTAACTCTTTCTGGCAGGGATGCTAACCAGATTAATTGTTTTTTATATGATAGCTTGATTGTCGCCATTAATCTTTCTTCATTTTCACTTCACTTCATCCCATTTTTGAAAAAAAAAGTCTCTTTACATAAGCACGGAAATAAACTGGAGAATGAAAAATGGCAAGAGGGATAAAAGCATTATTATCCAATTGTTGTCTTCGTCATCTAAATAATTGTTATCACATTTATCATCAAAAACTTTCTCATTAGTGCAATCATCGTCGTCATTGCAATTTTTATTTCGACATGAACATCATCATCATAATCATCATCATCATCACCACCATCATCACCATCATTATTATTATTATTATTATTATTATTATCATTATTATTATTATTATTATTATTATTATTGTTATTGTTATTGTTATTATTATGACATCATCATGACATCACCACTTAATTTGACACCATTTACCATGCAGGCATTCTGGTAGTGAATGTGACGTGGAGAGGGAAGACATATGTTGGGACATTGATGGACGCAACTAAACACCACTGGGCGTCACCGAGGTGGTAGCCAAAACGATGGCGTTGTTGTTTTTGTTGTTGTGTTAGCTGGGTGTTGTTGTTGTGTGTTGCTGTGTGTTGTTGTTATTGTTGTGTGCTGTGTTGTGTCGTTGTCGTCCTGCTTCATTGCTATTGTCTGTCATCACGCTTGATTACTTTTGATATATGGTGATAGTTGGTGATGATGATGGTGATGATGATGGCAATCACGATGATTTTCTTGTTGTATTGTTTTGGACAATTTTATTACCAGTATCAAGGACGAATATATAGAGGTGGTGCTATTTATGATGATGATGATAACTATGATAGTATAAATTTATTCAGTGACTTTTAAACCAATGAACTGGAGCATTTCACTCAACGAAATGTTTGATATGACCCTTTAATTTCGCCAATCAGATACACAGAAGAATCATCATTCCTTGAACTTGATTGGCGCTCTCCTAAAGTTCGCGGTGGTCGCAACACCAACCACAGTAGCAGCAGCAACAACGACAACATCGAATCACTTCTCACGGAAGGCAGAAGGTTGAGAAAATGTCGTCGCAACAACAACGGCAGCAGCAGCAACAACAACTGCAACAGCAATTTGAGATCTCAGTCGACGAGACAGAGTCCAGTTTTTCCGGAGGGTCTGGTCACTACGAGCAACAGAAGAAAAGCGCGAACGAATGCTGAAAATACATCCCAGCAACAAGCTCAACAAAATTCTGTAGACAGAGTGGACTCAGATAGTCCGACTCTTGGTAAAAGGTCGCGAGACAACTGTGAGTCTTCTGAGCAACAAATGCTGGAGTGCCACGAAGGTGTCTGCAACAAAAAATTTAAACACGCGACTGGTTTGCGCTACCACCAAGCCCACGTCCACAAGAAGCTACCGCCTGTGATCGTTAATGGTAATGTTGTTGAGGAACTCAAAGAAAATACCCAGCCTACCACACAAGATTCTAAAAATAACCAGTTCAAAAAACCCCAGCTCGTCAAAAATAACTCCATGGATATAGATGAATCGAAATCGAGAAACGATTCACCTAACGTTGAGATGGTTTGCATAAATGCATCCAACAGCTCAACAAAACTTACCATCACCACTACAAAAATATTGGCCAATGCAGCAACCACAGAAGCGACTAATAATACCACTACAACCTCGTCACCTGTTGATAGTCTAAATCTATTTAAACCCAATAGCTCCGTTAGTAATTCTTCAGCCACGGATACAACTAATGCCTCATCTACTCCTTTCAATATTTCCAGTGGCATCACCACCACTAGTACTACAACAACTACTACAAATACTACTACCATGTCTGCTACTACCACGCAAAACGAAACTACAGCTCTGACTACTTGCAGTAACAACGGTCAGCATCAGTCAACCACAGTGGACGTAAAAGTTGACAATTTGGCCATCAACTTCACAAGCGGCCCACTGAGCAACAGTCATTCGACCGCCAGCAGAAATCAAATTAAGTCAGAGAGTCAAATAAAAAGTGAATACGAGCCGGTCACTCCACCTTCCAAGCACCAAAAGCTGCACAACGATACAAGCAGACCACCATCCAGGGTCCTTCATCTCATCTCCACACCCAACTCTCCAATTGTTATTCCTGGAGATAACGTTAACAACAGCCACCACTCAACAGTCAAGAACGAACGTAGCACCCCATCGACGCCTAACATCGTCCATCAACCACAAAAACCATTTCCAATCAACGCATCGCAGCCTAATAAACACAACAGCAGCAGCAACAAAATGACTTCCTCTCCCCTTCCAGCCACACCAATGCTCCCACCCATGCCTCAGTTACCACCTGGCTACCCTCCATTTTTTGGTTATGGTGGAATCGACCCAATTTACCACATGCAGCTGCTTGGAGCCAGTCCGGAATACAGGATGCAGTTTGAGCACTGGATGGCCGAGCAACAGCAACAACACCAGCTTCTGCAACGACAACAGATGCTCTTCAACCAGTACCACAACAACAGTCATGCCGGACTGCCTCAGCGACAGTCGACTATGTCGCCCAAACCAGTTGACATGAGTGTTAAGTCGTCACCCTCGTCATCGTCGTTGTTTAGTGACGAAAGGTCGCACAAGTCTAACAGCGTCAACAAGCCATCGAAACATCAACAAAACAACAGCAACAAACGCAACAACTACCACGATTCATCATCTTCCTCGTTATCATCAGCGATGATTGGGATAGGCGAAGGGGTGCCTGACGAGAAAAGAAAGGACGCGCCATCATTTAAGCAGGAACGCCCCACTTCCCGCTACCACAACGCTTCTCCCGCCAGTCAAAAACCTCAGTCGTCGTCGTCGTTATCTTCGTCATCATCTTCTCAGGTTCCATCCAGCAGTTACATGAGTAACTTCAAGGATGCAGACATGCCGGCATTTCCAGGAAATCCATTTCTAGCTTCTAATCTAATGAAAGCATCTACGTCGTCTTTGTCGTTACCCTCGTCGTCGTTGACGTCATCATCCTCGTCGACGTCGTCATCTGGATATGCTTTTCCGCCGTCGTTTTTCCACCCATCCCAATTCATGGATCCCACGAAGTACTCCAGTTTGAATTTGTCCCAACCGTGGGTTGATGGGCATTCGAATAAAAACCGCAGTATCAGTAGTAACAACAACAACAACAGTAGTGGTAATAGTGATAATTTAACAAACAACAACAACAGCGCCAAAATCGTAAATAATGATAACTCTAATAAGAACAACAACAACAACATCGGTAGCAACAACAATAATAGCGATCCTATTAATAAATCAACGACACCGCCATCATCGTCGTCGTCGTCATCGCCGCTGACTCTTCGCCATCTTCACACTCATCATCACACGCATGTCCTGGGCCCCGCTTATCCGCTCTACGCATCTTACAATGGTGAGAGAGACTAATTATGCCGCACGAACTTTTGTCGTAATTGTCGTTGTAGTAGTTGTCGTAGTGGTAATTGTAGCTGTGGTCGTGGTAGTTGTAGTTGTTACTGTTTTTAGTACTAGCAGTAGTTGTTGTGGCGGTAGAAATTGTGTATGAAATTGCGTATAGTAATTGATTTAGCTGTAGTTGTAGTAGTAGTAGCTTCGGTAGTAATAGTAGTTGCTTTTGTTGCAGCAGCAGCAGCAACTGTAGTAGTAGTTGCAGAAGTAGTTGTAGTAGTTATTAGTAGCAACTGTAGTAATTGTTTGTAATAGCAACATAGCTTTTGTGCTATTATAGTTGAATGACCGTAATTGTAATGTAATACTTACACCATTATTATATCATTAAATTTTATTTATCAATAAATGACTGCCGTATTATCATCATGATATCTTTATATGTTTTGTGTCTGATATGATTAGTTGACGATTGCCTTATATATATTATTGTTATTATATTATTGTAACATCATGTAGCAATGTTAATGATTAATAAATTCTTCTTAATGTATTTCACTGTGTTGTGTTGTTTTGCTTTATATATATATATATATATATATATATATATATATATATATATATATATATATATACATACATACATACATACATACATATACGTACATATATTTATACTTGCGTACATACATACTTACATATGGTTCTGTTGTTAATAATGTTATTTTGACTTTTAAGACTGCATTAAAAGGTGCATAAATAAAAATGAATGATCGTGAACATGATGATGAGCGTGTGACAAAAAGAGATCGAATGAATAAATTGATTTTGCACTCACGGATAGACGACATTTAAATGAATGAATGGATGAATAAATGAATGAATGAATGAATGAATGAATGAATGAATGAATGAATGAATGAATGAATGAATGAATGAATGAATGAATGAATGAATGAATGAATGAATGAACGTTCAATGGCCGAATAATTGAATGAATGAGTGCAGGAATTAATGAAACAAAAGTGAATGACAAAATATGAATGAGTGCAGGAATTAATGAAATAAATGAATGACGAAAAATGAATTGTGTGCATTAAATGCACCCCACAGGTTTGGTGCCCCCTGTGCCGCCATTGGTTCCCTCAGTCGGTCCTGCACTCCCCTCTTCATTCATCCATAAATAATCGATCTATCATTCATTCGTTCGTTTGTTCATTCTTTATTTCATTTATTCACTTGCTCCTTATGTTAAGTTCAAAAAATTATTCTTATTTCAAAACATTAGCTAAGTTCTTTGGCAGTCTATTTTTTATTCGTTTGTTCGTTCGTTTGTTCGTTCGTTTGCTCATCCATTCACTCGTTTTTTCAATATAAACATGCATTCATCCATTTATTCATTCATTCTTTCGTTCATTCATTCTGTCGTTCGATAGGTTTTATTGTTTATTTTTATTTATGATTCATTACTTTGCTGGGTCGCTCTTTTATTTAGTTATTAATTATTTTTCATTCATTCGCACGTTCAATCTTTTTCTTTCTTTCTATCATTCATTCATTTTGTTCACTCATTCATACATTCATTAGTTTGTCCATTTCACTCGTTGATTTATTTCTAATTCGATGTGTTAATTTGTTCACATATTCCTTCATTCATTCATTCATTTATTATTTTTTCATTTCTTCATTCTTTCATTCATTCATACATTCGTTCGTTCGTTCATTCATCCATTCTTTCATTGGAACGAGTGCTCTTCAGTTCTTATCTACGATGAGGTTTGTTTGCGTGTTTCTAATTATGATGTGGGTGCTGCTGCTGATGCTGTTGATGATG